TGTAATGCTTCTGCTGGCACGCTGTTTCAATAGATTCACACTAGATACACAAATTGTGCATCTGAAAAGAAGAATAGAAAATACTTACACCTATAAATGTTACCGAGTGCCAGCTGCAAGCATCAATAAAAAAAAACAAGAGTAGCTGTCTGTCTCCTATGTGACTACAGTACTTTAGATTTGAATTGCCTGCTGTAGCTACAATTAAAATCAGAACAGTGAGCTAAAAGACAACATGGTAATTCTCTATTGGTTTGCCTTTGAAAATACAATATTTTATCTGTTGTTTTTTTCCCCCCAGCAATATATTTATTTATTAATTATATTAGAGATGTTCCTGGTGATCAATTTTCTAGTCGACTAGTCGTGGGAAAAAAAACTTAGACTGCCCGACTAGTCTAAAACTAGGAAACAAAACTAAGACAATCTTAAGTTGGGTCGTGGGGGAAGCAGCAGGGAAGCCCAGACCTCCCTCTCACCACCTCCACCAGCGTATCCAGGAAACGTTTAGCCATTCCCAGACGTAATATCTCAAGCATGTCCCAGATAAACGCCCAGTTGGAACACCTTACCCTGGAGGCGACAGCCTTAGCCATCTCCTTTCAATATGGAGGAGCGTTGACTCTACTCTGAAGTTGTCCCAAATGATCTAACTCATCACCCTATTGCATCCTGTCAGAGAAAGCTAGTTGTATCCACGATCTCATTCTAATAATGTTAGCCTAGATCAGGGGTAGGCCACTCCAGGCCTCAAAGGCCGGTGTACTGCAGGTTTTGGTTGTGTCCTTGATCCAACACAGCTGATTTAAATGGCTAAAATACCTCCTCAAAATGTCTTGAAGTTCTCTAGAGGCCTGGTAGTGTGATTCAGGTGTGATCCAGGGTGATATCCAAAACCTGTAGGACACCGGCACTTGAGGCCTGGACCTTGCCTAACACTGGCCTAGATTGATAGATTCATGGCGTTTCCCAACAACAATCTGCTGTTGGGAAATGCAACAGCAGATTGCCCAATGCTGCCACCTGGTGGCAGATGGCAGCATTGGGCATCAATTCAAATTTTAACAAGTATAACAATTAGACTAGCAAGTCTGGTACTGACTAGTGACGACAGCGACGAGTAGTCAGCTGGGCAACTAGTTGCGGACATCCCTAAATTATATATATATTACTATTTAATCATTTCCTTCTGGATCAGTTCATTTGGGAAGAGCGAAAAAATGAAGTGCTGTGACTTTTAAAGGGTCAGTTATATTTGCAGTGCAAAACAAGCATTTGTGGAACTCACAGGCTTGAAGATTTGCTCATATGACTCGTCATCTATCCCATCCCGCAGTGGGAAGTTGACAGCGTAATATTTGCCTTTTCCAGCTCCAATATCCTAAAGGTAAAAAAGACAAAAAAGTGCATACTGAATAATCTCCAAGTATAGACTCCTCAGCAGTGTGCAAATGCATGTGTTAGCTGCACCAAATTAACAAAGCCCTTATATCTTTCCATGAACAAAAACAAAAAATAAATACTCACACAAATGCAAAACTATCCTATGATATCATCATACAGATTTTGCTGTTTTCAATTAAGAAATTATGACTTCTTAGTAACCAGCTGAAGGAAGAGTGTAAGGCTCACCCGAAGGTCACCAGTTCCAGGGAAGTACTCCCCATATTTATGGAAGGACACAGTCATAACTCTGTCTGTTGTGTAGAAGGCCTCCTCCACTCCATCTCCATGGTGGATGTCTATGTCGATGTACAGCACCCTCTGGTGGTACCTGGTAAAAAGGGCCACAGACAGAGCTCGGATGAGTACAAACACTGCATAGAAACAATGCTGTGAGAAATGGGTCTTTCACCTGCTTTCATTTAATGAATTTTTATATGTAGATGGGAAACAAAGCGGGAAATATTCTCACTTGAGCAGCTCCAGGATGGCCAGCACAATGTCATTGACGTAACAGAACCCTGAGGCCTCCGATTTCTTTGCATGATGGAGTCCTCCTGCCCAATTCACTGCAATGTCTGTCTGCTGTCGGTTCAGCTTCACTGAGCCAGCTGTACACAACAGGAAACATGTTTGATTATGCAGTTTGTAAAGAAACTGATATATATCTGATGAGTTAATCAATAAGTCACTTAGTCTAACTTTGTTGTCATAACCGGAAAAATGTTTAATCAAGGCTGGCACTGAAACAGCTGGACAACTGAAAGCCAAGAACTTGTTCCTGTAACTGTGCTCTCCGGGAACAGGTGACAATAAAAAGAATTTGCTGCCTCAGTCTAATGACCACTGCACTGACTTTGTTTCTCAAGGATTTGACTGACAGTAATGAGGTCCTACATGAGCAATTACAGCTTTCTGTCTGTTCTTTTATAGAGGACTATTTATAAAGATGGTTGGTGCTAACTATACAGATCATGTTTCATTCTACTCTGGTTGATGACTTGTCAACAAACACAGTGCTTGTAACTTGTACCACAAAGCAGGATTTGGGGTTTAGTGAGAGAACTTCAGGAGTCCCACCAAATCCTCAGGATTACAAAGGTGGTTCACAAAGGTACACAAGACAAGATAAGGATTCATTTTTGTAGGGAATTCAATCCTGACCTCTTATTCCAAAGACAGTCATGTCTTTAGGAATATTATCCTTCCAAAGACAATGTAGAAATGACTGAGAACCACAAGACTTTTTAGATACAAATAATTGTGTTATTCTGTTAAATTGGCAGTGTCTATTAATGTTACAGATAGGTCTAATGTTGCTGAAACAGGAGCTCAATGACTTCCTGATGTTCCACACAAAATATTGTGAGTGTTGTGAATGTCATCACGTGGTGCATGTTCCTGCTTGTCTGCTGTGGTTCTATGGGAAGTAGTGTGTACACTAGCAGAGGCAAAGACAGTACTGTGGGTACTGATACTGCTATAAATGAGTAACTAATCCAATCGTCAGTTTTAGTGTCAGTTAGGATCTGAGTATCTATTTTTTGACAACCCTACTACAGACTATTTATCACCTCCAGAGTTGCAACAGAATGAATAAAACTGTGTCACAGTATATCTTTAACATAAATATTCAGATTGCTTGACTCAACTGACTTATCAAGACCTTTTATATGACCGCTTAGCAACATCTGATTCATCATTAGCACGACTTACCAGCCGAACCACCAGCAGACAGTTGGCAGAACTCAAACAAGCCATCGAATACTGGACAGTCCTCCCCAACATTGACTGCAGAGTAAATAAATACATAAATAAATAGGAAACCAAAAAATAGGAAGGTGTTCAAAATTTAGTTTGAGCAGTATGAATGGAAACAGAAGGGCAGAGGAGCTCCTTGTATTTCGTACTATAGTACACAAAATTCTGTAATGTCCCAAAGAGGACACAATGACTTACACCTAGGGCTGCTCGATTATGGCAAAAATGATAATCACAATTATTTTCACTGAAATTGAGATCATGATTATTTGACAATATTTATTTAACCCTTTAAGACCTACTATAGAACCAAGTCCACCAGAGCTTATATTATTTTTTTACATGCTGTAGTGCCATTTGTGGGAGCATTTCAAGTCGCTATACATCAATACAACTGTTATAGCCCATATTTTAATAATATGTATGCATTAAGTCCATAGTAATTACATAAATTGCAAAAAAGTGCAATAAACTACAAAAAAAATTGAAAATCGCTTTTGTTTTGTTTACATATATTTCTACTTGGAGAAATTTAAGAGGCTTATCCCTCAACTTTAAATACAATAAAGTTGCAAAAAATAGTTTACAACAACAGGAAATTTATTTTGAGTGTCTTCATAGAAAAACAAAAAACAATCCTATGATGCAAATTTGCAAAGAAAACAGTCCTATGATGCAAATTTGCAAAGAAAACAGCAGGTGCATCATTTCACTGTGGGAAGTGTTACGAACAGCTGATAGGAACGGCAAAGCGTGTTTCTGGAATATTATGTTTTTGTTCCTGCAAGCGCTTTTTATGCAATTTTTGCAAAGCTATATGTGGAACGAAACCGTGACCGAGGACAAGCTGATGGCATCAGATGTAAGTACAACTCCTCCGGTTTCATATGCAAAACAAATTATTGCGCTAGCTTACACGGTTCAGGTTCTACAGGGATTTAAAAATAGTTACGCAAAACGGAGCGTGCTGCTCTGACCGGCTTTAAAGGGTTAACAATGACTTTAAAAAAATAATATAAAATAGTGTGCAACACCACTGAAGTTTTTTTTTTTAAAACTCTCTTTTCAACCAACGGCAGTCACTCTCCAAATAACTTCTGCTTAGCTTTCCGAGCTTCCCTCGGGTCCTCTTAATCAGCGGTCTCCAACCTTTTTTGCGCCACGGACCGGTTTATGCCCGACAATATTTTCATGGACCGGCCTTTAAGGTGTCGCGGATAAATGAGGGAGGGGCTAATAATCGGCTCAGTCATTTTTAATGATCGTTGAAAGCCCAGATCGTAATCGTGATTAAAATTCGATTAATTGAGCAGCCCTACTTACACCTCTGCATCTGTTTGCTGAACTCTGACATGTTGTCTGGTCGTATGGATCGGAGGAACTTGATGTAGTCATCACTGTGATATTTTGTCATCTCGTCTGCAGTGGCTTTGTGTGGCCTCTGAAACACAAGACATTCCAAGCTGGTTGGAAACTACAACAAGGAAGGCCAGAACCTATGGTATGCTTAGTGTCACATGCTTGGAAAACATACATAGACCTCCATCTTCCTGTACAGTCCATAGTTCAGAAGTAAGTTGTGGGTCATCCGGATACGATGTGGTTTCATGGGGTGCCCCTGTCCATAGTAATAATTTCCTATGTCACCTGCAAAGACAAAAGGAACAAGATAAGAAACACATTTCCATCCGATAATAATTATTAATTTAAGCTGCGAATGAAAATAAAAATGGATGCTTTTCAGGTTCTGTCTGAGCAACAAAAGAGATTTTACACTTATTTACACATTCTATAAAAACAGCACATTTTGTACTTTTCATCAAAATTGACAACCTGCCAATTGTGTACTGTGTCCCCCCCCCCTCTCTTAATTCTTGGCTGTTCCTGCTCTAATCCTGACCACAAACAAAAAGACCAAATGAAACCCCCATATGTTAAGGTATTAACTGTTTTACATCTTTGAGGTATTCTGTGGCTGCTAAGTTAGCAACTAGCATGACACAAACATAATGCTAGAACAGCAAATAACAGAAAAGCAAAGGGAAAACCGAGTTTTTCTTAACACAACAACAGCGGGGAACAACAGCAACATCATTCACGGTGTAATACCATACGTATAATTCAAGCATTTTTAATGTAACTGAAAAACTATGGATGCTTACCACCAAGAAGTAGATCACAAGATTGTGCAGGTCAAACAGTGATGTTTACTTCAATTTTACCTGCACATGCAGTTATCCTACAATAGCTCACTACACCTCCTTCAGACTATGAATGTACTGCTGATCTCAGTTGCCAATATTATTAAAAGGTATAAAGTTGATGGGGCTGTAGCCACCTTCCCAGGACATGGGCGCAAGAACAAATGCAACTTCAGGTTGAACAGAGAAATAGCACGCAAAGTAGAAAAGAGAAAAAAAAATACTGGGTTGTTGTGTTTAGTGAGAAATAAAAAGCAACGTAAAAACAACAATAACACAGCATTTGACTGTTAAATATTCAGATGAAAACTGAATGCACGGTTCTAGTTCTAGTACATGTAAACTGAATGCAGGGCTATATGTGAACAAAGTTAGTTTTTACTGCAAGTCTCTTCAGAATTCTGACAAGATACTGTAACTATGTTCCTTGTACATGAGGAATACAAATAAGGGGTTTCTCTTATGAGAGAGAGTGATGTTAGACAACACGGTAATACGCTCCAATAAGGCCTGAGCACTTAATTGTGTAACAGTGGCACATTTTGCTTAATTATTTTTACGAATGTAACTCTGACGACGACTCATCAGTTCCTAATCATTTTTGATTTAACAGAGGTAACGCGGTGCACAAAGCCCGATCTACATCTGCAACTATAAGTTATACAATCGTGACAATGAGTGCTTGTGTCGCAAATTCTCAACATTAATTTAACCGAAGCCCTCCTCTTTTCTCTGACTCGGTTGAAGTAAGGTGATTTTTTTTAACTTTTACTCATAATAGTAAACACACGAATACTCTCTTTGCACCGCGGAAACCTTTCAAACGATGGTCATTAGCGCCTACTCGTTAGCTTGCTAGTGTTAAACAGTATACATTCACCAGCAGCTACACTGACTAGCTGGCTAGCGTTAGCCTGCCAGATGGCTCAGTTTGGGCTGCCCATTCACACGCTCAGGATGTCCCATACCGTCGTAGTAGTAGCAGACCTTCTTCTTGGTCCCGCCTGCGGTCGTGTAAGCCATTTTAAAAGTACCTCTAGAAATAAAAAGTTGGTTTGAATTTGCTTCAGCAGACAGAAGATGGGATAGACGGCATCAACACATAATTACAAACAGCGGAAAGTCGCTGAATGGGAGGCGCAACTTCGGCGGGGAGGGGCGGGTTAGACAACTTCGGTAGGCCACTTACCCCACCGCGAGGAGTCCCATTCAACCCAGAGGATGGGAAAAGTGGACTCATAAGGATGTGTGAAACATGGTAAAAACGCGCTTCATAAAATTCAGTTCCACTGCTTTATCCGTTACATTCTTTCATTTCTTACTACCATGCAATAGAATTAGATACATTTATGGCTGTAACAAATATGGATTTGTTAACTCCATTACCTGAAGTATTGCCCAACAAAC